TTCAGTGGGTCCAGGTGGTTGAGTATCAGAGTGTTCCATCTCATTTCCCTTTGGGGTTGCTGTTAGTGATCTGGAAGTCTGGTTTTGAGACTTATTTACGTGTCTTCTCATTTCGACTCGGGGCAGGGGGGTGCTGTTGGCACCTGTGTGGCTCACCTTCTCTGAGCTGGGAGAGGTGGGACAGCAGCTCAGAAGCCCCTTCCTCTGGGCCAGAAAAGGTGGGATGGATGGTGGCCCAGAAGCTCCTTCCTCTGGTCCAGAAGCAGCGGGACAGACAGCGGCCTGGAAGCCCCTTCCTCTAGGCCAGAAACAGTGGGACAGCGGCTCAGAAGACCCTTCCTCTAAGCCAGGAGTGGTGGGACAGTGCAAGATGTTCTTTTTTTTGAGACAGGGTCTTGCTATGTAGCCCAGACTGGCCTTGAACTCATGGCAATCCTCCTGCCACAGCCTCCCAAGTGCTGGGATTACAGGTGTGCACTACCACACCCAGCCAAAAAAAAGATGTTCTTTTATCGAGGATTTAGCTCAGTGGCACCACACCTGCCTCACAAGCACAAGGTCTTGAGTTCAATCCCCAGTACAAAAAAAAAAAAAAAGATGTTCTTTTATCGAGGATTTAGCTCAGTGGCACCACACCTGCCTCACAAGCACAAGGTCTTGAGTTCAATCCCCAGTACAAAAAAAAAAAAAAAGATGTTCTTTTATGAAAGATTTTTTAAAAATAAAAAATAAGTCTTTTATGACATCTAAAGACTGACAGCTTTCTACCTTAGATCATTAACAAAGGATGCCTACTTTTAGAATTTCCACTCAAAACCACACTGAAGGAGGGCCAGGGATTTAGCCCCGTGGCACCGTGCCTGTCTCACAAGCACAAAGTCCTGAGTTTGATGCCCAGGTACCAAAAACAAAAACAAAAACAAACAAACAAAAACACCATACTGCAGTATGTGGTCAGAACAATCAGGAATAGCAATAAAAGTCATCCAAATTAGAAAAGAAGTAAAACTATCTCTATTTACAGGTAACATGATGCTATACAGAGAAAATCATGAGAAATCTACAAAAAAGTACTAAAGTTGATTAATTCAGAAAAATGAACTCAGGAAAAGATCAATATACAAAAGTCAGTTCTATTTCTGTATTTCTATATACCATACATTAATGACTCAAAAAAGGAAATTATGAAAACAATTTCATGAAAAATAGCATTAAGAAAATTAGAATATGTAGGGATAAATTTAAACCATGGAGGTATAAGATTGTATGTGGCAAACTACAAAACAGGGATGAATGAAACAAGATTTAAATGAGTGGAAGATGCCTCACATTTTTTTTTTTTAGAATGACATGATAATGATAAAATGGTAATAATCCTAAAGTAATCTACAGATTCAATGCAATCTCCACAAATCCTAATAGTCTTTTGTGCAGAAATAGAAAAGCTAATCCTAAAACAATCTTAGAAAAAACAAGTGTAGTTAAGGGACTACACTTCCTCTCTTTAAAACTTACTACCAATTAAGTATTCATAGAAGTGAGGTTTGGGATAAGGGCAGACACAGAGATCAGTGGATCAGAACTGAGAGACCAGACATAAACCCAAACATCTAGGTCAACTGGTGTCTTAAGAAGTAACTATTATTACATTTGTTTTTCTTTTTTACTCCAATAATTTTATCAGGAAAAAAACACTTAACATGAGATTGTCTCTCTCAGCCAATTTTTCTGTTTTTGTTTTTCGGTACCAGGGATTGAACTTGGGACCTTGCACTTGCGCAGCAGGCACTAGAACCACTGAGCTAAATCCCTGGCCCCTCTCAGCCAATTTTTAAGCATACACAACACAGATATTGACTAGCAGAACAATGTGGTGTATAGCAGACTTCTAGAACTTTATTCATCTTGCTCATCTGAATCTCTAGGCCCATACATTAGCAACTCCCCATTTCCCCTCCCCCGCCACTGCCAATCACCTTTCCACTTTGATTCTAGGAATCTATCTGAGATACCACACACAAATGAATCATGTAACATTTACCTTGCATCTGGACTTAGCACTGTGTCCTCCAGCTTCACCCAGATTGTCACATATTGCATAATTTCCTTTCTATTTCCAGCTGAGTAATGCTGCACTGCATGTATATACTGAATTTCCTTTAACTATTCACCTGTTGGTGGACATTTAGATTGCTTCCACATCTTTGCCATTATCAGTGTTGCTGCTATCAACATAAAGAGAGCAACAGTTCTTCAAAATCCTGATTTCAGCTCTTTTGGACAATACCTAGCAGCAAGACTTGAACCACCAGTGGTACATGCCTGACTCCCATTGGACGGCATGGCACACTAGTCATGCATGTACCACCTGATAGGACAGTCATGCATGTATCACCAGTGCTTCAAGACACCCAGCAGCAAGACATGAATTATGGCCCCTTCATGAACATGTTAAATAAAGTACAGTATAGCCATATATTGAAGTACTACACAGCAATTTAAAAAATGAAACAGAACAACATGAAGGAAATTTCTAAGGACACAGAGAGGAACTATCATAAAAAATATACCAAAATTTAAAAATTATATTTATCATAATTTAAAAAGACCTAATTAAAATATAAATTATTACCATATATGAAAAACAGTTTGAGACAACTCATCATATAATTAGTATGTTTATATATAAAAATCACTGGGACTGTTAACAAAACATTTAATACACAAATAGTGGAATGGGTGCAAATGAGGGACATTTTACAAAAAGGAGTGAGAAAAACCAAATTCAACCTCTTCCATAATAAAATAATTATTTTTGGCTACATATCCTTCATTAAATAATGAGCAAAAGTTGGCATATAAATAAGAATGCTTGGAGGATACAATGAAACCTGAACTCCTAGTCCTTGCTAACTCACTAAGAACAGAACTTGAGAGCAGAGCCAATGCTCAAAAACGGAGACACAGCAACCCCTACAATGAGCTGCTTTCATTGCCATGAAGAACCCCGCAGAAGTACGTGTTTAATATCAAAGAGGAAGTCACCGGAGCAATGGGATACTGGCATGGAAGGCACATGAAAAACATCTACATGGATGACTGAAAACACATTATAGTTTCTACTGTGTGGAATGTGTGTATTTACCACACTTGACAAAGTCTCAAGTAGTCACATGTTACCAGGTTGTGATGAGTTAGTTTTCTATTCTTTTCTAATAAGTGATAGAATCACATTTCTATAAACCACTTTTCTCAAAGGAAATTTCTTTGAAAGAAGTAGAGACCTTCTACTTCCATCTTCTCTCAATGACTTCTGCCCTCCCGTGCCACTGAAACAAGGGAGCCACTGGGAGTCACACTGCCTTTGCCTCTGTGAAGCCCTAGTCAAAAACCTGCAAACTCCACCTCATACAAGTTATCCATGCACATCTCATACCCTCCACCAGAACAGTTCTTCAGTGGTTTGCATGTATGTGTCCATTTTCTCTTTCTCCAGCTGCCTGCAACACCAAGCCAGTGGCCCACCGCCTAACCTTCAGTCTGTGCTTCTCACAGGACCAGCTGCAGGATGAAGGGAGTGGCCATTTAACCACCGAAGAGCAAACCTTTGCAAGATGCTCAGAAATGCATCAGGATCAGGAAAAGTCACTTGAACTGAGTGGTGACCTACATCCTAGTGGTCAAGAAAAAAGCAACACTATGCTGGCGGGGGTGTGGGGAGAAAGGAACCCTGCTCCACTGTTGGTGGGAGTGCGGACTGGTGCAACCACTGTGGAAATCAGTATGGAGATACCTCAAAGAACTAGGGTTAGAGGTCCCATTTGACCCAGCTATTCCCCTGCTGGGGATCTTCCCCAAAGAATTAAAAGAATCATACCACAGAGATACATGTGCACCCATGTTTATAGTGGCACAGTTTGCAATAGCTAAAGCTTGGAAACAGCACAAGTGCCCATCAACTGGAAACTGGATAAAGAAGATGTGTATTTTTTATAAAATGGAGTAGTACTCAGCCATAAAGAATGAGAAACTAGAGACATTTATAGCTAAATGGATGCATATTGAGGCCATACTCTCAAGTGAAATAAATAGGACACACATGTGTAAATATCAAATAGTTTCTCTAGTGTGAGAAACTGAAAGTGCAAATAAGGATTAAAATGATTAAAATGAATAATCGATAATGCAAAATAGGAAAAAAGGTCCAAAGGGGTAGGGGCAGTGGGAGGGGCAGGGGAAAGGAAAGAAGGGAAAGGAAAAATTATGAGAAAAGGAAAAAATGGAAACAAAGTCTTTGTAAATAGGGAGGGGTAGAGGGGTGAAGGGCGCACAGGTAATGGGGAAAAAATAAGAACTTAGATACATCATGTACAGGTACAAGCACCCAATGATAAATGTAAGCGTACTGTATACCTAAAATGTACCAATAAAGAATTTAAGGAGAAAAAAAAAAGAAAAAGAAAAAAGCAACACTACATGGAAATGTGGTGTTAGAGAGAAGGGGCAGAGGAGGAAAGAGTAACTATGAAATCCCAGAGTCTGGTTTTCTCTCCAGACCTGGAGGACTTGGCCCAGATGCCGTGACCATTTGTGGACCAGTTTGGTGGACAATAGCTAAGCTCTCCCCTGCAGTGACTTCACCACATGACTCTCCACACTCACCTGGGAACAGCCCTGCCACCAGCTCTCTCTGCACCACCCAGTGCTCCTTCCCCGACTCCAGGAAAGCCACTAAATCTGGCTTTGAAACACAGTGGCCTGCATGGTGAAAGATAGAGGATCTGGTTCACTCTTGGTGTTCTAAAATCAAGGAGCTGCTCCCTAGTTTTGATAGAAAAGTGTTCATGCAGGGAGAATCAGGAGAACAGGTGAGGAGGAGCTCTCAAAGATGCTTTGTGCACAATGAAGACACCAACTTTCAATGCCACCGACTCCAAGGTCTTGTCTTAGGAATCAGGAGCAAAACTTCAAGAAACCCTTCTCCCTTCTCCACACTCAAACCTGAGGTATGGAAACAGAAGTCCGGAAGACAGACTCGAATCTGGGAGAGGGGCATCCTTACCTAGGGCCCCCAGGGCACCATGGTTCTCCCATAGCACAGTCTTACAGAAACTCTTCTGCGCTGGCTCCAGCTGCGGGGCAAAGCCTACAGCCACATTCGCGCTGGTCACCATGTTCTGAAAGGAGCAAACATGTTCTCCATCATCTCTCACTCGTGAACCTGTGTAGTCTGAAGCAGGTCACAGTGACTGCACTAGTTGTATCTTATATGCCTGAGAAACAGGGGAGAAACTTGAGATCCTGCTCCAAATTTTCTCACATTCACTCGTCTAGTATTTCTTAAACCAGCCTGTGATTCATTCCAACTCCCCGCCCGCCCCCTACATGTATCAGGACTGTGTAAATCTGTCTTCTAGTGCGGTATCTGTCCACAGAACATACTGTATCTAGATGGAATTTCTCCATTGCACGGTAGTCACACAGGGCTACTGTATTCCTCTGGACTGAGGCTACTGCCTGACTCACCGGCTGTGTCTTGAACAGAGTATCATAATTCCAGCTCTCCCCCATCAAAGAGTACTCCAGGCTGTAGTTTGTGGGCCTCTGTGTTCCAGCTGCCTGGCACAGCTTTTCCTCAGCTGAGTTCTTTGGAGGAAATTCCTTGGTCTCACACACAGCCTTCCAATCTGGAGGACAACAGGAAAGCAAAAGTCTCACTTATTATGTGTTACTATGATGAAAACCTGTAAAATGCAACCAGGTGAGTGAAAACCTTCAAAAGAGACATGTCATCTTGGAAACTTTTGACCTGACTGGCAATGTTCCTGAATTTATATGGCTACAGTCCTAAAGGTACAGCACGTGTTTGCTCAACTGAACGCTGAACAAGTAGCACACACTGTTTTTCACAAAAGACTGGAAAAAGAAATTAAGAGATAAAAGAGCTCAGCAGTTATAAAGAAAGAACTGGCTGGGTGTACTCCGGAAGGCTGAGGCAGGAGGACTGCTGGTTCAAGCCCAGCCTACGCAACTTAGTGAGACCAGCTCAAAATTAAAAAAAAAAAAAAAGAACTGGGTATGCAGCTCAGTGTGAAGGCACAGAGCTAAATCACAAGTACCTCCAAAAGGGCCAGGGATGTAGCTCAGTGGCACCACACCTGCCTTGCAGGCGCAAGGTCCTGAGTTTGATCCCCAGGACCAAAAGGCAAGGCAAGCGCTACATGAGGCTTACTTCAGCTTTATTAGGGAGGGCTCCTTTTGAGCCTGTCTGTTTATTTGGCCTCCTTTTTATGACAATGCTAACTCATAAAAGAGCACAGCATGGCCTTAAAAGAGCAAGTCTTCACAAAAATATCATTCTTGTCCCCTGTGCACAATGCCCCACGTGGGCTGTCATATCTGCAGCAGAGCAACCTGTCCGGTTCTGTATGACTCCTGTCAAGCATGACTTGAACCAAGAGGTCCGAGGAGACCCTGAGCTCTTCTGAAGTGGTTACCATTTCCTGTCACAATAAAGCCTCCACGGGACACTGGAAATTCTGAGTCCTTGCCTCACTCAGTTGTGGTTCCAGAAATAATGCTGTGTGTGGGCTCTTGGACTGTGTTCCTACTCAGCATAAATGTCACGGCAACATCTGTAAGCATGTTCCACTGAGTCAGGACTGCTGCTCTTCTCTTGTGAGTGCCAGTTACCCCACTGCACGCTGCCTATTGCAGTAAGAAGTCCACCTGCACCCAAATCTGTCGCAGCCCAACCTAAATGCATCTCCTAACTTTCCTCTTTCTTCTAATTCTAATGCTTTTGCTCAAGGCTCTGGCCTTGTTTCACTGGCTTAAGACTGTGAGTGACTTTTCTTCTTCCTCCTAGGTCCCTATCTTCTCTTTCCTCCACAGAACAGCAGTTTCCAATGTACTTCAGTGATGTATAGATCTGTTTCATCTCCCCTGGGAGATGGCTAGGTCTTTAATGCATATGCTCATCTGGCCACTAGCACCTGATAGCCTTACTCAAAGTCACGACTCAGTAAAGACAGTAAAGACTACATCATACACACTTGTGTTTATAGCAGCACAACTCATAATAGCTAAATCTTGGAAGTGGCCTGTATGTCCACCAACAGATGAATAGGTAAAGTACACAATGGAGTACTGCTCAGCCATAAAGAAAGATACATTTGAGTCATTTATAGGAAAATGGATGCACATTGAGATTTTAATGTTAAGGGACACACAAGCTTAAATATCACATGATTTCTCTTATATAAGAAACACAAAATATAAATAAAGAACAAAATAAAGGACAGTGGGAAATAGGGAGACAGAGATCTTTTGCAAATGGGAAGGACCAAGAGGTGGGGAGAGAGAGGAAAGGAGGGGTTGACAAAAGGGTTAGGGTGCTACGTGCATGAGGCGACCCCCACAGTGGCAGCAATCAGCATGCACTGCAAACGTGTACTGGAAAACTACATCAGAATAAGCAAAGGAGGTGCTGGAGCAGAGGAAAGCAAGGGCCCTTCAGAGGGAAGGGAGCCATGTTAGAAAGCTCGGGGAGACACGCAGGGCCCACTCCAGACAGGCCTTGGCTTCCCTGGCCAGGCCAGGCTCAGGAGCTGTCTGTGGACATCGCCCATCTGAGCCAGGCGGGCTGGCACCAGCTCCACCCTCTCTGTGCCCCACACTCACCAGGGTGCTGGCCTCCTGTTCGCTTTCTCCTCGCCATCCAAGGATCTGGTCCTTGCTCCAGTGAGGAGATCATATCAGGCTTAGAAGCACAGAGGCCTAGACACATAAGAAGGCCAGATTGGTCATGCTGTGGGTCTGTCCAGACCTGGGCTCCAGTCCCCTTGGCTTGCTGGAAGCAGAGGGGCGGGACACCCTTACCGAGCGATGCCAGGTTCCAGTAGTTCTCCAACATCACCTTCCTATACAGACTCCTCTGGGTGGCGTTCAGCCATTCCCACTCCTCTTGGGAGAAATCTACAGCCACATCCCCAAATGTCACCAAGCCCTGAAATGACATAACCATATTCCTGCACAATCAGTGCTCATGGCCCAAGAGCTGCTACTGAAAGAATCGTGCCCCACCCTCCATTTCTATGTTGAAGTCCTTGTCCCTAGGACCTTGGAGTGTGGCGGCATTTGGAGACAGGGCCTTTAAAGAGGTAAAGTTACACGAGCTTATATGGGTGGAACCCTCATCCAGACAGGACTGAGAACTTACAAGAAGTGAGACAGCAGGGATGTGTGCACATGCAGTGTGAGGTCACAAGGAGAAGAGGACAATCAGCAAGCCAAGGAGGGACCTCAAGAGAAGCCAAACCCACTGACATTTTGGTCTTGACTTCTAGCTTCCAGGACTGTGAGAAAAGAGGTTTCTGTGTTTTGACACCTAGTTGGTAGTCTATCGTGGCATCTCTAGCCAACTACAGTGGGGTCTAAAGGTCACTTTGTCTTCATTTAAATAAGAGATGCATATTTAGTTATTTGGAGATAACTAGATAGTCATTGGACAGCTTGCTTGCTTGCTTTCCGTCTTGTGCCGTGGACTGGATCAAGGACCTAGCACATATTAAGCACACACTCTATCTGTGTCCTCCAAAAGCTGGTCTTAGGGCACAACCTCAGAGTAAAGAGAATGATATGGAGACCACCCAATCCTTGGGGGAGTGGCAGTCGGGGGAGACGAAAGGAGAAAACACACCCACAAAATACTCACTATCAATTCCAGACAGTCAACCAGACTAACTTGCTCCACGCTCAGCAGGTACACTAGAGCACTTTCCAGCCTGATGTGTGCAAGTGACCTGTAGCAGACCGAGCAGAAAATGAGCCTGGGGATGAACCTCCAAGGATCAACATGGCCAATCTCCAGGCTGGGGTCCAGGGTTTGTATTTCACTTTTAGTGTTGACTAAATGTTCATTAAAACAAAACATAATCATATTCCTTTTTCTAAAGTAAAAAGGAGTGTGCAGGATATTAAATCAACATTAAAAAATCAATAGTTTTTCTATATACCAATAATAAACAATCTGAGAAAGAAATCAGAAAAAATTCCATTTACAAGCATCAAAAAAATCACCAGGAGGGGACCGGGGATTTAGCTCAATGGCGCCAGTCTGCCTTGCAAGCACAAGGTCATGACTTTGATCCCCGGTACCAAAAACAAAACAAAACAAAAAATTACCCAGGAATAAACCTAATTAAGGAGGGAAAAGAATGCTACAATAAAAACTACAGATGAAGAAAGAAATTAAAGAAGACACTAGAAGATAGAGACCTACCATGTTCATGGACCAGCATGGCCATATTACTGAAAGTGACCTGCAGATTCAATGCAAACCCATCAAAATACCAATGGCATTCTTCACAGCACTAGAAAAAAACAGTCCTAAAATTCATATAGAAACATAAAAGACCAAGAACAGCCAAGGGAATCCTAAGCAAAGAGAGCAATGAAGGCAGCATCACAATACCCAGTTTCAAGTTATATTACAAAGCCATACTAACAAAAACAGCATGGTACTAACACAAAAATAGACATAGACCAATGGTATAGAGGACACAGAAACAAACCTGTACAACTACAGTCATCTGATTCTTGACAAAGGAGTCAAAAATACACATTGGAGGAAAGGCAGCCTCTTTAACAAATGGTACAGGGAAAATTGGATATCCATATGTAGATTAAAACTAGATCTCACCCTGTAGACAAATCAATTCAAAATGATCAAAGACCTATGTATAGACCATGTATAAGACCCCCAAACTGTTAAGCTGCTGGGAGAAAACTTGGGGGAAGGACCTGAAGCCATAGGCACAGGCAAAGACTTCCTGAATAGGACTCTATGAGCACCCCATGCAATCCCAGCAAGAATCAACAAATGGGGCTACACCAAACTAAAAGATTTCTGTACATCAAGGGAAACAACCAATAGAGTAAAGAGACAGCCTGCAGAATAGGAGGAAATCTTTGTCAGCTACTCTCCTGATAGAGGATTAATATCTAGATTATATAAAGAATTCAAAAAACTTAGCAGAAAAAACTCAAATAACCCAACCAATCAAAGGGCAAATGACCTGAACAGACGCTTCTCAAAAGTACAAATGGCCAATAACTACATGAAAACATGTTCAAAATCTTCAGCCTTCAGGCAAATGCAAATTAAAACTACACTGAGATTTCATCTTCCCCTAGTGACAGTGGTTATCGCCAAGAATACAAACTACAATAAATCCTGGAGAGGATGTGGGGAAAAGGAACCAGCTACACTGCTCATGGGAATGTAAATTAATACAACAACTATGGCAATCAGTATGGTGGCTCCACAAAAAACTAAAAATAGAAATTCCATATGATCCAGCTATACCACTTCTTGGTATATTCTGGAAGAAATTAAAGTCAGGGTACCATAAATATGCCTGCATACTTATGTTTATTAGAGGATAATTCACAATTGCCAAGATATAGAAACAGCCTAATGCTTATCAGCCAATGAATGGATAAATTGTGGTCCATATACACAATGAAGTATTAATCAGCTGTACAGAAGAAGGGAAATATGTCATTTGCAGGAAAATAGATAGAAATGGTGATCATGAAGCAAAATAAGCAGACTTAGAAAGACAAGTATCCCATGCTTTCCCTAATATGTGGAAACTAAAAAAGATAACATGAAAGTAGAATGGTGACTATTACTAGACAAGAGGAAGGGAACAAAGGGGAGGGAGCAGAGTGTAGAAAGGAGGGTAATGGGGATATAAAAAAGTTATGCATTATATCATTAAGCATCATGATGTTTATGTGGACTTTGTGAGGTGAAAGGTGCCCACTGCACTCTGTTAGGTTAAACGGCATTTACAAAACAATTTATATGACATTGCCAATTTTTTAATTTTCAAAAATGTATTCATGTATGCAAATGTCAGGAAATTAATTTTTAATCTCTCTAGGACTGAGATGTTGAGCACATTTTTCTTTTTGTATGAGTAGTTTTTGATGTGCTATCTTAAAATATTTCTGTCATGTATTAACTCAATCTTTACTGGAAGCATTTGAGGTAGATCCTATTGTGTTCCTCATTCTCAGACGAGAAGAAAGTTACATGGTGGTTAAATGCCAGAGCAGCATTTGAGCCCAGAAAGCCTGGCTCCCTACTCCATGCTTGTAACCACTATGCTGCTCTGCTACTATTCAAATGCGTGACTCTGACTGCAGCAGTAACATTTGATACCCATCCATGCTGACTGAGAACCAAAACCCACTAGAAAACAACATGATTTTCCAATACAGTTAACTGCTTCTGATGTCTAGATCAACCTGCTTAATCAAGGCCACAAAACACTGAAATGTGCAGGACCTGTTCTTATTTCTTCGCTGTGATCCAAACGTGGTTTTTCACATGGGTTCACATTTACACACTACCTCATCAGGAAAATACCACGCAGGCACACAATCTGCATCTGATACAAGCATTTGATTCAGTGCCTTAACTTGGTTTCTTAACATACATAAGGAAGAGGGACATTAAAACCATACAAACCAATAAAAAACCACCAAATCTGTACTTATAGAAAAATGCTTTCTATTAAAAAATTTTAGGAAAAAATGAGTAAAAAGTATATTATAGGAGAAACTGTATTAGAAAATTTTTGGTCAATCCAATTCTGTTAATGTAAAAACACATTAGAAAATTATTTGGTAATAATCATTTTTTTTGGTGGCCTATTTTAGGGGGAGGATCAATTCTAGCACTATTGCTGTTCCACCCATATATGATTTTGGAAGTACTTTCATCTCACCTAAGTTTAGGAAACCTTAATCCACCAGGAAAGAAAAATGTCTGGGAATGAATTCACATGAAATAATCAGCAAAGAAGCACACTTTCAGGTTTAAGAATGATTATTCTAACACTAACACCACAATCGAACACTGACCACAAGAGAACTTTGTACAGTATTCAAACATTCACCCAACAAGTATTTTCTGGATCAGGCACTGGGGCAAAGCTGCCCCAAGTCTCTGCATTTAGAAATGTGAGAATGAGATAAGAGAAAATAAGATAAATTAAGTAAAGCAGCATGATTTAAAGTGCTAAAGGGAAAAATAAGAGGGAATTGAAGAGGCGCAAGAGGCTGAGACTTTAATGCTGTGACCAGGGAAATGGGAAGGCAATTTTTCAGCAAAAAGAGAGCAGTGGGGGAGTGAAGCAGCAGGTGTGGAAGGTTACAAGGAGCTAGGCCACAGAGGGCTTGTCAGTCACGTTGAGGGTTCTGGCCTTTCTTCAGGAAGCCACTGGAGGGTTTGGGGCAGCAAGTGCCAAGACCTGGTGTTTGAACAGACCCCTGTGGCTGCTGCACTGAGAGGACAACATGGGCAGAAGCAGGTGGCTACAGAAGCACAGAGCCCAGAGGTCAATGTCAGAAATTATGAGGATCCCAACTGAGGTGGGGCTCCTACAGTCCCGCTCACTCCCTTAACTTTCCATCCACAGCCTGGGAGCTCCTATGAAGTGGGCTCTGAACCAACAGCTGAGGGACCCGGTGTGGTGCTTCCCCTAGGAGCAGGCTCCACTCCAGGACTCCCTCCGAGAAAGTGGACTGGGGAGGATGGGGTCGCTGCATCGGGAGTGAACACTGACTGGGCTGGAGAGGAAGCGGAGAAGAAGCCTGGGCAGCTGAAACCTATCTGTTGTGGTTTACATCTAGATGACTTCCCTCAAACCTCATGTGCTCACGGGTGAGACTTGGAGAGGTGGTCGGATCACGAGTGCGGGATACGCCCCAATGGATCATTCGGTCTACTCTGGAGTTTAGAGCTAACTACGACGTTGGAAGGTGGAGCCTGGTTGGAGGAGGTGGGTCACGGGGGCGTGGCCTGGAGGTGCGCGCGTCTCCCTCCCTCTTCCCTGGAACTCTTTCTCTGCTTCAGGCCTGCCATGCTAATAGCAATTCTCCACCATGCTACCCTGCCTTGGGGCTAGCCAACAGTGTACTGAAACCTCTACAAACCGTGAGCCAAAATAAACCTGTCCTCCTTGAAACTGTAGGTGTGTTTTGTCTCATCAACCAGAAAGTAACTAAGACACTATGCCTGAAGCCCATCATCCACCACAATTTGAGGAGATGGGAACCAGCACACAGGACAGGGCCCTTAAGATGAAAACTGTTCAGAGAAAATTCCCATCGTTTAGTACTGACAAGCCAGAGTATTTCAGAAAGGAGAGAGGAAATGCCAACTCACCTGGGACATGACTTTAAGTTTAGCTCCTGTCCCTGCGGCCTCCAGCCTGGGGTTCCTCTCCTGGAGGGCAGTGTCCCAGGAAAGCAGCGCTGGGGGAAAAGAGACAAAGTCTAGACAAGATTCCCAAAGCACCAGCCCAGAGACGTCCCTTTCTGCATGAACAGGGTAGGGCCATTTTAAAGGGACAAGTGGAACCCTTTATTAGCCCACCGAGGGGCTGCCACGGAGTCGGGCAAGGACTGCTTCTCTTTGGGGTCATGGAAGTGAGGACATGCAGATAGGCTGACCCCAGAGAAGTCTGAAGACCTTCCAGACTGCTGCTGATCTCTGACTCTTCCCAATCTTTGGATTCCCCTGACCCACCAGCCTGGAGGACCAGGGGCCCCGCAAGTCCTGGGCCTTGGCCCCTGGCCCCGTGAAGACGAGGTCGTCGCCTTCTGCCCAGCGCGAGACCTGCCAGCCTCACCTCTGCGCACGGGACCCGAGGCCACCGCTCCTCGCCGGCCTCTGGGGACGGAGCCACCGCTGGAGCGCGGCCTTCCGCGGGCAGGGTGGGCAGCGGCGGCCGGAGCTCTGGGCTTGGGGCGGCGGTCACCTCGCCCCAGGAAGGCCCCACGGACGCCCGCCCCGGCTCCCCTCATGTCGCGGAGAGGACCCGCTCTGGGCGCTGGGGGCCTTGCAGACACACCCCCGACCACACCCGCGGCCGCGCCCGCCCCGCCTCCTCCCTGCCCGCTCGGACCTGCGGCCCCGAAGCTCGCCCAGCGAAGAGCGCCGCCACCGGAAGTGGGCGTGGTCCTGCGCAGTGGCCGCTGGGAAACGTAGTTCCGAGCAGGCAGTGGCGGAGCTCTGGCTGCAAAGCGCAGGTTTGCCCCGGGCCCAGGCTATGCCCGTGGGCTATGCTTCAGACCACTCGCTCCAGGATCGCGCCTTCTCGGTAGACGCCGGGCCTGACTTTGGGCGGAAGCACAAGCCAAGCCCCAAAGCATTCTGGGAGTCAGCGCTGATTCGCAGCGGGCAGGCGCGGAGGCAGGGCGGACGAGGGCGAGGCCTTCCATAGGGCGGGGTCTGCTGTGGGGCAGGGTCTTCCCGGGGCGAGGCCTGTTGGGAAGGCGGGACCTTCAGACCGTGCGGCACCGGTGGTGATTCTGGTCCTTGGTGATGGTGTACAGCTGGGCCCCAGTGAGATCCAGCCAACTCCTTGCCTCCTGAGACTCCTCCCCGCACACCGCTGGGCTGGGTCCTCTTTCCCACCTAGTCCCCTAGTCCCACCCAGCTTCTTTGGTCATTCGCCTGTACTGCTTCCGGGTCCCAGCTACAACAACCAGCCGTTGCGGCTTCTGAGAGCCCTTCCTAACGCAGGAGTTTACGGGTGTCTGTTGCGTGCACGTGCAGTGCCAGGTCCAGGTGCTGACCTGGGCGGGGCATCAGCCTGGGAGCCAAGGGCTGTCAGGTGAATCCTCCGTCACAGTTGAGTCTACCACAACAGGTGTGCACTCACAGGTGCCCCCCATCACAGGGGTGCCCACTGTCACAAATGTACAGTATCACAGGTGCACCCACCGTCACAGGTGTCCAGCATCACGTGTGAGTCTACTGCCAAAGGTCCATAGCATCAAGGGTGTGCAGGCGTCACACGTGCCCCCCATTATGGCTGTGTCTAGATGTACCCCCAAAGCCTCATGCAGTCATAGGTAGGGCTTTTTCAGAGCTGGCTGGATCTAGAATGTATGATTGATTCCCAGTGCAATGCTACAAATAAGGGTGAGTGATTACTAAATGAATCCACTGATTGGTTTGGCACTGCCCTAATCCAGGTAGCCTGGATAGAAGAAGAGGTACAGAAAGAGGTTTGTTTTCTCTCTCTTGCTTGCTTTGCTGCCTTCTGCCCACCATGAACAGTTTCTCCTCTGTGATGCCCCTTTGCCATGCAACCCTACCTTGGAGCCAGCCGATTATGGACTGAAACCTTTACATACTGTGAGCTAAATAAACCTTTCCCCCTTTAACTTTGAGTGTCCGATATTTTGTCTCAGCAATGGGGAAGTAACTAAGGTGTCCATCACATGTGTCCCCACTGTCAGGGGTACACCAAATGCACACCCAGCCGCCTGTTCTCCTGACCCTGTATTGGTCCATTTTCCATGGACCAATTAAGATTTCCATCTCCACATCCAAAGGAATCTGGAGCCACCTGCTGGGGAAGCTCGAGGTCAGCATTTCCCCTGAATGCCCACCTATCTCCTGGGAAAATCCCGGTTTCAGGGTCAGACTGACCCAGCTGCCTCACAGCCATGGTGACGTGGCTAGTTGCCCTGCTACCAGGCCAGCAGAACACTGCTTTTATTACTTTCGAAGAAATCCATTATAAAGAATTACATGTTCTACACAGTAGATTTACAGCACCAAGTAAGGATGTCATACTCTTGGATGTCAGATAGTTAACAAACAGAATGTACAACAAGATGACATATTTGACTTGGGAAATAATTTTTAGTTTAATGAATTTAGTTATCTAGGAAATACAGCAAAATATGCATTTTCTACAAAATCATAACTTCTGATTCTGTTTCTTCTGAGAGGGATTTTACATCCACGAGGTATGAATCCTTCCTTTGGCCTGATTGTGCCAGCATAGACACAGCCCCACTCCTAGACCTGTACCAGTCATTCAGGAAAAACAGTGATTGGCTGGACAAAGTGGCAGTCCCCTCTAGACACTGGGAACTGGGTGGACATCCATTGCAAAACCTAATTCTTTGAAAAATAAAACTGATATGACCATAGTCAGACTTCCCAAAAGAGAAAAGACAAAGGACATATTAAAAATACCAGTGAGAAGATTTAGGCATCAATACTGATCTTGCAGACAGTACAAAGTTAATCAGGGAATGCTACAAACAGCACTGTATCCCCAAATTAGATAACTTCTGTGAAATGAACCAGTTCCTTGAAAGAACTCTCAAATCATCCAAACTCAATAAGAGATCATTTGAACAGCCCTGCATCCACTGAAGATTACAGCTGAGCACTGACTTCATTGCTTCAGATTTACCAGTAATCAGTGAGGTGACCAGTGATGTGCCGGTAAAGGTCTGACATCCAGCTCCCCAGGGGAAGCGCATGTGCATGCCTCTTGTGAGTTTACTATATTCTTACTGGTAAGATCGTGCAGCATACACATATACTAAACACACAGCTTAACAACCAGTTCACAGAATCCTCAAATAGCAGTCAGCTCTTGCACATGAAGGTAAGCCTGCCCAAGAAAACCTCCAAATTACTAATGTTAAATGGCCGCCACCTGGGACTCAGCTACCCTGGAGTCCTCCATTGGCTTCAGAGACCAGAAATCCCTTCCCACAAATCCCCCCTCATCAGGGTACACAAGATCATAAGGATGGTAAGTAAAGCACTTAACTTTTTGTTATCTGAGTCTTTACACTAAGCTACATCCCCAGAAAACCCCATCTTTAATTTGAGATAGGGTCTCACTGGCTCAACTTGCAATTCTCGTCTCAGTCTCCCACAGTTCTGAGATATAAGAATGTGCCACATTACTCACCTTAGTAAAACACTTCCTAAAGGTGATAATACTTCACCAAGCTTAGTTTAAAGGAAGGATTTTTGGCCACTTGAGAGCCTAAAGATGGAGAAGAGAAAATCAGGGAGGAGTAAGTCTTCCCTGCCTGTGAGGAAAACTCAGCTCTGAGCTGTCAGTGTCATTTAGGATAGGCTAGGACTTTGCAGACTCACAACTAGCATGGAAAGTATTGTAGAGGATGTGGAAAATGGGACTCCTCATACACTGTTGCTGAGAACATGAAATGGTGCAACCACTTTGGAAGAGAGCTTGCTGTTTTCTTAAAAAGTTAAATATAAATTTACTTTGCCATCTAGCAATTCTATTCCTGGGCTAATCTACTGAAGAGGAATGAAAACATATGACAACATAAAGACTTATATAGAGAGAAGACTTATACATAGAGTTCATAGCAGCGTTATTCAAAATAGCTAAAATTGGAAACATCTGTACATCAACTGATGAATGGATAAAATTAGTGTGTCTTTGAATGGAATATTATTCAGCACTGAAAAGGAATGAAATGCTGATACACACTGCAACAGGGATGAGCCTCAAACACATTACACTACATAAAAGAAGACAGGCACAAAAGACTACATATAGCATCATCACACTAATTTGAAATGTCCAGAAAAGTCAAATCTGTAGAACGAAAGGAGATTAGTAGTTGAGATCAACTGCACATAGGGAGGGCACTGAGGAGGCTGAAGCTGGTTTGAGTCCAGGAGTACAAGCCCAGCTTGGGCAAGAAAATGAGTCACCTGTCTCAAAAAGAGCAAAACAAAACCCCCAAAGGACTCGGCCATGGCTGAGAGGATATAGGAAAACAATTTCAATTCCTCCCAGACTATGTGGGGATTTCTTCCCGCAAGCAATCAGCTGGGCAGTGGCTCCCAGCTAGGTGTGGTCCTATCTACCTGAGCTCGTCTCCCCAGGCCTTTCCCACACCAGATGCTGATTACAAGCTCCGGGTCATTTATTTTAAGGAACTAGAGACTTGGAAAAATTCAGCGAGACTCGAGCATAACTCCTGAGGCCCTGGATGTACATTTAACTGGAGCGCAGGTCGCTGGCCCTGAGACACCTCCATTCCCCAAAACAGAAGCCAGACCTTCGCACAAGAGTCAGCCCTGTTCACTGTGTACACCAGCTATGAGGGAGACGGGATTCCGGAGGGACCCCACCGGCCTGTCAAGTTCAAGGGCAATGTCCCTGGGGAGACGTGGGGACCGGGCTGTGGGGAACCGTGGTACCCAGAGAATTGATAAGGGAACCTCACTAAACCCCATCAGCTTGGCAGCCTGGAGTGTGGCTCATCGCCGGCTCAACGGCCGCTGGAGCTTCTTTCTCATCCTGGTTTCTCTCGGAGCCCAGGCTGCAGGGGTGCGAGGCTAGTGGGAGCCAGGGTCCTCGCTGCACTCCAGCGTCACCAGCCTGAAAACCCTGCCCTCCCTTCTTGGTCCCAGCTTCCGGTTGTCCATGCCTACATGTCCAGGGCATAATAGGCCGCCTGTAACCATGGAGGAGTGTGATTTACTACGTTCCTCATACTCAGGGCCCTAAGTATTTCTCCACCAGCTGCCTTCCCACTGTTAGGAATATAAACAGTTGAGATGTGTGGGATGCTCTGTTTAGATTATGTTGTGTTGTTTTACTTTCGAAATCGTCCTACAAAATGGTTATTTCCGCTATTTTACACATGGAGGCAAACTCATTCTCTTCTTGGGTCTCTATTTCATGTCCCCCTCAGGGCTGGGGATTGAACCCAAGGAGCACTGAACAACGTTTTTGTTTTGGTTTGGTATTTGTTTTTAATTTTGAGACAGAGCTTCACTAAGTTGCGCGGGCTGGCCTTGAATTTGAAATCCTCCTGCCTCAGCCTCCCAAGTAGCCTGGACTCACAACCACTACCGTAGTTTTCCTCTCTCGCTCTCTCACAGAAAAACATGATATTTCCCACACACCCCAAGGGTCTGTCAGAGACACACCAATTTATCACACATTCCAGCCCCTCACATACAGACACAAACACACAATCACATTCCCTCTACTTTCTCTTACACACAAAACATTAAGCGTGATCGAAAACTATGGGCAAGGTCGAGCGTGTAAAAGATTAAGGGGCGTGGCCCAGGGAGGCGGGTACCGGCGGGATGCGCGCAGGCGCGTGGAATGCGCTCCCCCCTCCCCTGCCTGGAGACCAGAAGCGTCCCTAGTTACCGGGCCCCAGTGCTGTGGAGGAGCGCGCTGCCTGTGTCCACAGGGCCGCGCTGTCACTGATCCTGTGGGTGACGGCATCTTTTTTCTTAGCTAAGCTTTACCCCAGTAAGAACAGCACTGAGAAACCTCGACTGTTCCTCACCTCTGTGATTCCTGCGTCCTTATTCGTATGGAGACTCGGACGATATGACGGCCTCTTTGGAACCAGACTGCTAGGCCTGAACCCTGCTCTGCCCCGTGCTGGAGTAGAAATTACCCTTGTTATTGAAGGACTAACAAAACTACAGTTAATACCTGTATTGAAGTTGAGGAAATACGGAAAGGCCATTCGTGGCGTTACAGCAGAGAACCAAAAGACAGCTTTTTCTCCCTTGGATCTTATCTTCAAGCCTATGGAGACATCACAGATGAATAAAATACACAGTATAACGAACGGTGAGAGAGGCTGCAGGGAAACAGAAGGCAGGGAATGGTATGTTGTATCTTATTTTGCTACTTTCTGTATATTAAGTCTTGACATCACTTTTAAAACCCTTTCTGAGGTGTGGTGGCACACGCAAGTAATCCA